AAAAAAAAAAAAAAAAAAGCAATACTCGTATGAACAATCACCAACTACCATGACTGTCTATAACTTAACTGAAGTTCCAAATAATGCTCACAAGATAGCAACATTACAGATTTAATCACCTTCTAAAGCCAGCCAGCAATATAAAAGTTGCAACTTCAGCAGATTTATAAGTTTAAAAAAGAAAAAAACTGAACCTGCAGTTCAGTAGCCTTATGCAATGTCGTTCCCTTTAGCTCACTAAGCTCGTCATCAGTAAACCAAAGTGGGTTTCCAAATTCATTAGGAAGCATATCAAGATACCTGAGATTACAATACGGAAATACCATTTCCTCACAATAAACTACCCAAATTTGCACGCGCAATTCATAATGACGCACCAAGAGAATACTGAAATCTATATTTTTTTTTTTTTTACATACGGCTTCCACGAAGAGTTCTTTCTTAGACGTTCCACGGTCAGAAACAGCATTATCAGGAATCTATCATCGACTTCTCCTTCCTCGAACATCGACCGACATTCGGGTCCGAACAGAGGATCTTCCAGTACCCTCATGGGAGTAATGGCCAGATGAAGAGGAACCACCAGAAGAACTCCTGAAATATGTACGGATACACTAATAAACAAATAATGTAAATACTAAATAATGACTCAATATAAATTAAGCTCTTTTAGCTGCTTGTGAATGGAAAGATGTTATCTTTCAACCACCGACCTTCCATTATAACACAAAAGTTCACAAACTTCAGTAATTATACAAAACCCCAGAAAAGCTTCTGACTGAAAAATCCCAAACTTTCACTACATGGCAAACTGATTGAACTGAATTTTACAGAAAATGTGAAGAACCCATTATTATTACCATCAGGCACATCCTTCGATTTGAAAATCCCAAACCGTTTACTATGACTGCAGTATTTGATTTTACTTCCTCGTAGCTGAGCTCCGTTCACCTGAATTCAAGCGCCATACATAAAAATGTAACAATAATGAAAACAAATTAATAACTTGAAGCAACTTGCTTGCAGAGAAAGTTCTCGCGGACCTGCAGCCATTGAAGGAAAAGCTCGAGCTTTGCCTCTTCCAAATCCGTCGTCATTGCTGTGAAGCTGCCGAACTAGGGATAAAAAAGGTTGCAGTCGCTGAGTCGCAGTTTCAGATTTTGATAAATGGAGATGGTCATATTTTTTATTTTTTATTTTTTTTTTATTTTTATTTTTTGTACAGGGATCTTCCGGTTTCCGGATCTACAAGGAATCGACTAATCCGAAATCAGCCTAATCCGGAATCAGCCGGGTAGAAGAACAAGGGCGGCGTGATCATACTTTAGTTTAGTTAATACGTCTTGACGCTGGATCATTTTATAAACCTTATTATAATGGTTGGTTAAGAGGGTGATTGGATATATGTTTGATTGAGTTTTAATTGATTTTTTTAGTTAAATATAGTTAATTTAAAAAAAAAAATAATAATTGAGGTAGATTTGATTCGAATTTTGAGTTTGTAACAAAATAATATTTAAATAAATTAATTAAAATTAATTTGAATAAATTAGGAGAAAAATAATTGCAAGTGATAAGTAATTAAAACTATATGAGTGGCTTAATTGTAAGTTAAGTTGTTACGATACATAAAAATAATTAGTACAAGCCCGTGCGATGCACGGGGTGCACAATTTTAAGGTTATTTATCCAATTTTATAATTATATAAATGAATAAAGAAAAATGTACGGGATATATATAGTACGTGACCTTGCGAGGCACGTGATACATTTCTTTGGAGATTATTATACTATAGGGCAATGCTACATGTACAATTGTAGTTTACAACATTGGTTGACAAGTTAGTTAAAAATATCATTAACTGAAATCTTAATCATACATTTAATTGCATCTCAACCACCCACATTATGACACATCATGTTGTCATTGAATGTTGTACAAAAAAAAGTTGTACAAGTAGCTTTTTCCTATACTATAAGATACAATATTTAATAAAAGTTTTACAATACATGAAAATAAATATAAATAATGTAAATATTTAAACATATACACGATATGTAGAATAAATAAGCTAAATTGCAAATCTGAAAATATAATTAAAAAAATCAAAAATATATTTCACTAAACATGTACAAAAATATATAAATACATACACGAAAAAAAAAGAACTAAAATATACGTTTCAAATTTTGAAATTAAATCAAAAATTCAAATAATTTAGCTTACAATTTTATCATGCAGCAGAACCAACTCGAGATATTATTTGTATGTGCTGCCCTAGTCTTGGAAAAACATTATCACAATTCGATCTTTGAGCATAGTCTGTTAGACCTATTAACTTGTTTGATTAACCCAAATCATTGATTCATTGTTTTGAATAATAGACTGATTGGAGATATTTTTTGTTTGCAGGAGGTTGACCGTGAGGAAGATGATGACTCGATATTTTGAGATTTATAATTTATAATGGGTAGAGTAGATATGTATTGTTGTTAATATTTTTATTAGAAAATCTGAATTTGAATATACATATATCGGTTTGAACAAAATCAGAACATATTTTCATACAATTAGATAATAAATAAAGCTGTTTTTATTTTAGTAAAGATTTCACATATTTTTTTTTATCAAGTACATATTATTCATAAATATATGTACTTATCAAATAATATGTAAGAAACAATATATATTATTTGTAAATACATGTACATATATTATTTATATGTACATATTATAGGATACATATATGTAAAACACATATATTATAGGATACATATAATATAAAACACATATATGAAACACATATATTATTTTTATGTTTTATAAAACATAAATTATAGGATACATATATGTTTTATTATATGTTTTTATAATAAAACATATAAATATATGTACATATTATATAATAAAACACATTATTTTTATTATAATATAAAATATATATGTTTTTTATTATTATAGGATACATATATGTTTTATTATAATAAAACATATGAATATATGCGTTATAATAAATATATGTTTTTTATTATATTATATGTTTTATATTAGATGTGTTATTATATGATACATATATGTTTTATTATAGGATACATATATTAAATAATATGTACATATATTATTTATACATATTTATATGTACATGTTATAGGATACATATTATAAATAATATGTAACAAATAATATGCACTTTTTTTTTTTTTTTT